TGAAACTCCACTCTTTCCATCACCACTTACCCCGGCTTGTGTAAGGGCTCATGAGGCAGAGAAGAGCCATGAAGCTTCGAGGCAAGAGGTGGACGATGCATGCAGGAGTTTTGAGAACTATTTGGTGGAGATGATTGTGGAAGAAGGGAAGACCAGAGACTTGATGGACGTGGAGGAGCTTCTATATTGCTGGAGGAATCTTAAGTGTCCTGTCTTCATTGATTTAGTTAGTAGATTTTATGGAGAGCTATGTAAGGACTTGTTTTCTCCAGATGCTGATGAAGGTGACTGTTCCAAGTGAAGGCCTATGGAGCGAGTGTGAGAGTAAATAGAGTTGATTTTTTCTAACTATAATTTTCGGTTGAGTATTCCTATAAAATTGGATGTGTGCAATCCATGTATGCAGTTTACGTGAAACATTTTATGAAATGACCCATCTTGAATTATTCATCCTTAGTTTTGAAGAAATAACAGATTGTCCAACAGTCTAAACAATTATGGATATAACTGTGGCCTTTTATATAGATCCGTCTCCTGCTTTGGTTTGAAAACTGAATTCAGATTTTGCTCCTTTTGCCTTCTTCGCAATAATTAAGGTTAGCATTGAGAATGAAACCATATTAAGATTTCTAGCATGTACTTGACAATATGAAAACAAAAAAACAACTGCAATTTGGGATCATTTTATATTTTAAAAAAATAATCTCAAGATATTCTATTCTAATAATTCTATGACCCTTCCAAGTCTCAAACATGACAGCATTTTAATAATAAAGAAAATATATTATTCTACATATGCCAAATTACCAATAACATCATACTGTCACAAAAAGAATAGTAAATAAGCATCCTTCCATAAGATTAATATATCAATAGTGTAATAGTAAAAGATAGTACCCTAATTAAGTATGATCGACAAGAGATAACTTAAGAGCAAAACTTAAATGCAGTTCCTCAAGAGCTTTTGGTGATTTCAATCAGAATTTGAGTTCAATTTCAGTAATTCACATGATAAAGGTTTGCATTAAAGATCATAAAAAAATTATTGAAACAAAACTCTAATTCTAATTAGAGAACAACACTAAAAACTTTTGAAAAACTATACCTCGATTCTATTCATAAATTAATACCTGATTTCTTTGGGAGCAAGGGTGATTAATTACATACAAGCCAAGAATAATTTGTTCCACCATTGATGAGTGATGAGTACGGAATAAAATAAAGTGCATTCACGAAAGGCAGTTTTAGTTGCACACCTATTTACATTTTATAGAGAAATTTGGTAGGTAAAAAAGAAAATACAGTGCAGAAAGAAATTTAAAACCACTGTAACTACTAGATATATCAGGTCTCTAATTAATAGGAAAAATTACAAACAGAACTGGTGGCTTAAGGTACTACCATAACCTAGGAGTCATCATTATCTTGACTAGCTAAGGTACCATTGAAAGAACTCGAGTACAAAATTATGCGGTTCTGTTAGCTGATTTACCAGTTAAAAGGGGCACCATTTAGCTTGAAGAATGTTTTGAGATATAAACTCGAGATTTCACCACCATCTTTCCAATTTGAAACCCCGGCATGATCATAAACTGAACTTTGCAGGTTTCTCTTTCTTCATCTGAAAGAACTGCACTCTCCTTTTCTTCCTCAACAGATTCCATGTACAAGCTGGAGAACATACTTCCTCTGCTCACAGAAAACAGGGTTGCTTCAGGATCTATTGCAACCGCAGATCCGAGTAAAACCCAAACACATTTTGCCATTTTTGCAAACAACTGATAAAACTCAGTTCTAGGGTGCTTGCCACTCACTATGAACGTTCGATGATCCAAATTGCCAAAGAACGACTCTTCCATTTTCGGATGAACAACAAGAAGGTACTTTGCTTGACAAAATTTGGCAAAATCTGAATGAGGATTCTCCATCAGTGCATCAAAAGGGTCATCAAACTTCATGATATCACTCACATTACAAGAGGTTAATGTGATCCCATGAAACATTCTGCGCGCAATGTAGGCCTCAAAAGCATACTTCTTGTCACACCTTTTGGAATAAACAGCACCATTCTCAATGGAGTTTGCGGCCTTATCAAGGTCCCAACCCGAAGCTTTCATCAGGCTAATCAACGGTTTCGCAAAATCATGGATAGACTTTGAAGCAGCCTTGAAGACATCCTGAAACTTAGTATCACTCAAAACATGTGCTCTCCTTTTCTCCAAACTTATCTGCTTGATCTTCTCAGTCAGATTTTTATTCCCTATCTCCAAATCCAGCAGCTCCCGCCACAACCGTGAAATCTCGGAATCTTTGGCACTGTTCTGAGACTTAAGCTTCCCCAAAAGTGCCTCTTTGGCCACAATCTCAGCCATTAAGGGATCTGAGCGAGCGGCTCTGAACCTTGTTTTCTTGCATTGCTTCTGTGTGTATTCGCGCTTGAACTTGCAAAGCTTCTCAAGCTCAGCAACAACGAGGTCATCAGCTGCAACAATCTTCTGAGGGTCATAAGGGATATGAGCCTGCTGAAGCTGAAGATATGACAATTTCAGTGCCGAAACAGCATCAAATATCTTCCTCGTGACCTCCAAAACAGCACAAGCATCCTCTTTGGCTGGCACTTCAATGGGGTGGGGATGCACTTTCTGGTCACAGCATCTGTTCTCTTCACTGCTGTTTTCACTCAGAGGGGCCTCATTGCAAATGGGTCTGTGCAAGTGAGGGAGATTGGGGATTTCAGAGGAGAAAACCCCAATAGACTTCAATTTACAAACTTTGGCAAATTTGCAAACCATTTCTGATATATTACTTGAGTTGGGTTTCACAGGCTTGGTCTCTGAGCATTCCATGGTAAAAGATCAAAACTTGAACTCATACAAATCTATCCAACAGTGATCCTTGCTTCAACAAACAAGTAACCAATTTACAAAATCTAGAAAGAAGAAAAAAAAAACTCATTCAAAATGTATTTGATGAAATGGGGTTTCCTAGCCACATTGCACACACCCAATAACCCAGACAGAACCAAGATTCCAGGCACAAAAACCTAGTAGTGGTGGCAAGTGGGATCCCAGATTAAAAAAAAGCAGAAATTTTTGTTTACTTGTAAATTTTATATAGCAAACGCAAAGGCCAGATTTTCCTCTTAGGGTACATTTCAGCACTCGAAAGGGCACATTGTGATATTCAAACTAACCAACACTAGAACACTAAAATTGAAAACACCCAAAGAAAAAAATATTTGAGTTTGAAAAGAAAGCACCAATGTGTAGCAAAAATCTAACCAGAAAGTGGAAGTGTGGTTGGAGGAGCAATGAGGAACAGTACAAGGTTACAAGGTTGGAGTTCAGTGCTGGTTGGCACCATCTTCTGTCTCTCTGACATTTGAAAGTTTGAAACTTGAGTGAATATACGTGCGTGTTAGCTTTCTATTAAACGCGAGAAAGTCACTCATTGTTTATTATTGTTATGTGTGTTTTTTTTTTTATTGTTATTTTGGGTGTTTGGGAAAGGGGTGAGAACCGGGAAAGGGAATCTCAAAAAACTGAAAGATTTTCTTCACACTTTCACAGAATGGGGAGAGAGAAAAGGTGTACATGCAGAGCAAGAAAGGACACGCGCAAAGAAGTACCAAAAATGGGTCCGAAAATTTGAAGAAAACAATGAAATGATAAAGAAATAATATGGCACGCGAGGTTGTTTGGTTTCTTTGAAAATCATGGATCCCCATGCAGATGCAGCAATGCAAATCATTGATCACAGCCGTTCAATTATCTGTGCGTTTCCTCTGCTCTGCTACTAAACTTCCCAAGTTAATACCACGCTATCATGGCGTTTCTCTTAACATTTTTTTATGTCTTAATCATTTCAAAATAACATTTTTTCATTAAATATCTGTAAAAAAATATGCGTTTTCGGTCCACTGAAATTTAAAATTATCATTATTATTATTATTATTTAATTTTTTTTTATCAATTTATAATTGCGAAAGAATTAGAATAATTCACAATAGAGTTCCTTTTACTTGATAATTCACAAGTTACATTTAATATAACAATTCATAACTCAGATTACATTGAATATTAACGATCCTATTAAAATTAGATTTTTTATTAAATTATTTAATATTATATTTTATTAATTCAAATTAACATATTGTGTTTATTAAAAGATTAATTAATCATTCTATCACCAACTCTTTATTTATGATATTATATTAGTGTATAAACACTTTATAAAATAAGTTATAAGTCTATAAAATAAATATTATTTATTTACAATAAACAAGTATTAGAAGTATAAAAAAAACTTCATATCTTAGTGAGATAAAAAATAAAAAATATATTTTACAGAATCAAAATAATATATATATATATTTACGAAAGAAAAATATTCTGAAGTTACAAATTAATAATATTTAATATTATTAACATAATATTAATTTAAATATGTTTTTAATTCATTTGAAATTAACATGTTTTAATTTTGGTTCTTGTAAAGACTTTTTTATTTTCATTCTCTAAAATTAAAATGATTGTTTTTAGTCTTTTTTGTGTGGGTATTTTAACTACTTTTTATTTATTAAAAGATTAAATAGTTATCCTAAGTATTAATTACTATGACAACCATCTACTCTTAATAATTAAATAAGATTTTAAATAAAATACAATTTTATAAAATGCATAATCATTGTTTTTTTACAAAAGGGTTCATAATTATTTCAATAAAACTTTTAAAAAGAAACAAAAACACAACCAGACGCGGTATAAAGTTAAACAAGGCACAAATCGCCTACTTACATAATTATCAGCATAAAACATAAATCATCGTGTTTAAATAATTCCAACTATAATAAAGAAAATTATAATTCTCAACCCTAATGTCACACTAATTAAAGCAAATCTCAATATAGGTGAAGCTCTAAGCTTCACCTTTATCAAATTTCTCCTCCTATACTTGATTTATTCATGTGATCAGTCTAAACACAAGCTCCACAAAACACAAGGAGTGAAAATACATCACATCCATGTACAACATATATAAATCGTAAGGATAGTTAAGCATACATACATACATCATAATTAAATTCTCATATATACATTTATCCTTAACTCCACATCCTAGACAATACTCCTCTTAGTAACACCACTCAAAATACATTCATTCATCATTAACAACTAACAACTATTTAATCCAATCATTCATAATTATAAACATAAAGATTCGTGCAAACGCATGCACTTAACTCTACACGCATGTGGTACCAAATCTACTCATTATCCTTAACTCATAATAGCCTAGGAGCCATGGAACAAGACCATTATATCTATGGTGTAGGGGCCACCCCATCCTTGGTGATCCCCCAAACCATCCTCAACTAGGGGATGGATACCAGGATCTTGTAAAAGTGTCACAACTGGCCATAGTTGCCTAATATTGCCTGCATAAGGTTCTCTACCATAACACCTCCAAGGAATAAGTAGATGACCTATGAGACCTACTTGTATAGGCTCACGCTATCCTACAAACAAAGTATGTATGCATCAACTCTAATAACTACACCACATAATTAGAAGTATGCAACAATCATCAACTTCACTTGCTAGTTTGCAACATTGGACTTATCCACCACGTCTAATCATATTACTCATACAACCCATCACACCTGACATTCATATAATTCTTCATACCCAATACTTTTTTATTACTCGTTATTCATACATACATAAATATGTTATTTATTGAACTTTTTACCTATTATTAACTCATTACCATTATCTTCTTAATTCTAATCCTTAATCCTTTCACACAACTTCCTCAGATGTTAAATTATGTATATAACTTAGTTTATTTGATAAAATGGCATGGTGCCCAATGATGTTAGACTCGTGTCTAGCACGAAGAGGTCAGGGACTTCTCTACCAAAGTCGCACCCAATGTAGAGAGGTTTGAAACCTTTTTATCTACCTTGCGTTTGACATAAATGCTCTTGCACCCGACGTTGAAGAGTTAATATTTTATAAATGCATCCATAAACAAATTTTGCATCTTGCATAATATTATTTATTCTATTTATTAAATATATAGGAGAAAATGAGCTGCATGCCTCTATATTTTATAAAATAAAAAAATAATAAAAATTAATATATTAAGCATGTAAAGTTAATAAGTTATTTTTGTTTCCGTGTGCTCGGCTGATAAAGTAAATGAATTGGTGAATTAAATTACTTTAACACATCTCATTCCATAGGTTCAATTACCTGTTGTTTCATTTATATTACTTTGACTTGAACAATTATTTCTACTTGCTAATCTCAATTTGAAGAGTCATATTGCTATATTTAATCATGTCAAGCCAAAGACGTAAGAAACCAAACTAAAATTGGAAAAGTAGATTTAATCATGTAAGGCTCTGTTCATGTTAAATTATATGTTATACAAAATAGATTTGAACAAGAAAGCACCAGTGGTCTAGTGGTAGAATAGTACCCTGCCACGGTACAGACCCGGGTTCGATTCCCGGCTGGTGCAGATTGAGCGGTGATGAGGTCTGTGTCAATTCAGATAGATGGGTCTATCTTTGCTTCTGATTCTTATTCAGAGGAAAATATGGCACTTCAGAGCTCTATTCTTTTTCTTTTGCACATATATTATTGGCTCACAACATTTCAACAGAGGAATCAAATAAGCTTCATATAAACAATAAAAACAAGGGAATGAGCCAACAACAATGGTAAGAAAACACATATATATATATATCATAGTGTTAGTGCTTTTAGCTGTTTTAAGATAGTCTAAGGTATGACAATCTTGTTGTAGGTGAGACAAAATATGGCACACATGGACTCTCTTTTCTGGATTTTATCTTTTTATCATGAATCACTATTGGCTGATCACATTCTCCACATCCCACCACATATATTTTCTTTGCTAGGTCTGCCACTCAGTCAACATACTCAGTGCCCAAGTGACCAAGTCAATGAACAAAATCCACTCTGCAAATCATGTGCCTTGGGTTGGGGAACTGTGTGCTGCAAATCATATATTTTCTTAATGACTATAGTCCGTTTTTGTTTTAACATATATACATTGGCAAGGTAAACTCAGATACTATAATACGATAAAATAAACATGGTGCGATTTTGCTGATGAGTGATCGTCCCACATTTAATCAAGTTTTCATGTTAATACTGAAAGATTGAAAGAAAACGCAGAAATCATTAACGTATTTAGTTTCTTTTCCCATCATATTTTACATTTTCTGAAAATATCTTAGAGTTTGTTTAGATAAACTCATCTCAAAGTACTTGTAAGGAAAAAATAAAAAATAAAAAATAAAAAATAAAAAATAAAAAATAAAAAATAAAACTAACTTCTACATAAGTTAAAATTATTTTATATACAAATTAAAAATAAGATTTGAGAGAAATTATTAAAAAAAAAAAAAACGCACTGAAATAAGATCATTTTTCTTTTTCTATAAGTAACTTCATATAACTTTTACATATATTTATCCAAACTTATGTGATTGTTTTGGCTATACCTAATTATATTACCTATATTATATTAGATATTGTCCAAACACGTAGTATGTTGTGTTGGTTCCAAAATTTTCATATCAGATCATGCAAGTAAGATATTTAATTACTCTTTTTTCTTCTTCTTCTTCTTCTTCTTCTTCTTCTTCTTCTTCTTCTTATTATTATTATTATTATTATTATTATTATTATTATTATTATTATTATTATTATTATTATTATTATTTTCAATGTTATCACTACACAATATTAGTATTACACAATATTATTATTTTATTGATAATTAATTTTTACTATAAATTTAACTCACAACTTTTAAGATTTTTTTCCCTATATCTATTTCTATATTAACAATAGAATTTTTAGAGGATTTTTTTTTAAAAATTTATCCAATTCAATTTTTATTTATTATATAAATGTATTTATAAATTAAGTTTTAATATTTTAAAAATAAACTATTAACAATTAAAGATAATCTTGTGTTCCAATATGAATAATTTATCATAAATTCAAAATATAATTTATATATTAAAAGTATTTGTTTATATAAATTTTAATTATAATTATATATTCAAATATAATATTTATATATATATATATGTATAATTTTTTTTAATAAATTTTAATTATATAGTAAATATTTAACTTGTACAATTCACATGCTAAAATAGTAATTTTTCCTATCACAAAATTTGAATGGAATCATATTTAAGAAATACAAATTCAATTTTAATTGTAGCAATGACTTGATGGGGCGTATCCAAATCAATTAGGCCTTATTCATTTCATTTTTTTTATTATAAAATAACCCATGAAAACAAACAGAATAAATTGCCGAATGCAAAAGTGGGATTCAAATGATGCTAATTATCTCAACCTTATTCATGGGTCGGCATGACGATAATTTAATAAACTGAAATTCTTGTTCATAAAAATGCTTTAGTGGTTAAATCGTGATTTTTTTTTCTTCATAAATTAATGTTTGAATGAAGGCAAGATTCTTTTTTCCTAAAAATATATATTTCAGAATAATTGAATTTTTTAAAAATATTTACATTGAATTAATTTATTCAAGATTTAAAGTGACACTATAATGGCACAACACTTGATGGAAGAAATGTTCAATATCATGTAAAATATTTAAAGGCTAATTTACTAGATGCCTTTAAAGATGAAATTTATATTAAGTACCTAAGTAATTTTTGGGAAAACTGAATTGGTAGTTCAATAGGTTTAGATTTTGCGGCAAACAATTCACTTTTTATAGAAGGGGGTATTTAAAAAATGAGTACCTGAGAATCTTATTTTGCTAATAATTTTAATAAATTCATGATTTATTATAGAATTACATGTAATATATTAGTAATCGGTGATTAAATTTTTGCTTCTTCTTTTTTCCCAATGAAGACTCGCCTACGCGAGTCAAACCTTTAATATAATACAAATTAGATAAAAAAAAAAAAATTGAACCTATAATAGTATCTAACAAAGTTGTATATACGTCATCCAAAAAAGACATATTGAACTTGAAAAGACTTAATAATAATATACGTTTTTTTTTCTATGTTAATTAGTGTATTGAATTCAAGCATAAATCAAGAGATGAACATCAATTGTTTTTATTTGACTAAAACTTTAAACAGTTATTTTTCATCTGGCCTTTTTCTAACAACATGATGCAAAACTCTTCCTTTTGAAAAGTATAATTTGGTTGATACGTAGCACTAGCTAAATTTTACTCTTATTTTATGCTGCCTCGGAATTAGCATACAATTCAACCTCAGTGAGTTTAACTGTTTAACAATGTCAAGTATTAACAATAACTACTTGACGTACATGACTTATGCAGGGATATGCTTTCTTGAAGATAAAATCGAACTAATGCTTTTCGTATTTTTGTGTATTAACTCAAATGACGATTTTTAAAATAAATGAGGTGCTTTATTTTCCATTTCTTAACCAAATAAACAATTAACGAAAATCATTAAAGTCTACTTAACTGTGAAATTTTATATAAATGCATGAAAATTAAAGTTAGATACAACGGTAACTAGACTTAAAGCAAATTTAGAAGAAAAAAAATCTCTATAAATGAGAATGATATATAAAATCTTTGTTGTTAATATATATATATATGATTCTTGTCAATATATGTAATATTTTACTTTTTATGGATTTCAAGTTTAAACATTATTATAAAGCCTTCAATGACATGTTTTTACTTGCAATAAATTTTCCTTATATATGGAGCATGAGCATGTACTTGATCTCATTCTTACCCTTTGTTTTATTCTCACTAAGTTTGTTCGTTTTCTTGTTGCAGATTTTGCAAGTGGGGAAGAGATCGAAAGTGACAGTGAAAAAGCTTCCCCCAGGGCCATGAAAATTACCTCTCATTGGAAGCATACACCACTTGCTTGGCTCTCTACCCTATCATCGCCTGAGAGAACTAGCCAAAAAACATGGCCCTCTCATGCATGCACCTAAAACTCGGTGAGGTATCAACCATTGTGGTTTCTTCTCCAGAAGTTGTCAAAGAGGTTTTGAAAACCTATGATGCCATCTTTGCTCAAATTAAAGACCCCACCAAGTCGGGGCTGACATCATGTGTTATGGTTCCACTGACATATTGGAAGCAGCTAAGAAGAATTTTCTCACAAGAGCTTCTCATCACCACACGTGTGAGGTCATTTCAATCAATAAGAGATGACGAAGTGTTGAATTTGATGAGATATATTGCTTCCAACGCTGGTTCTTGTGTGAACCTCAGTGAGAAAGTTGCTTTCATGACAAGTTCCATCACTGCAAGGGCAACCTTTGGTGAAACATGCAAGGACCAACAAGTGTTCATTTCCCTTATCAAGAAACTTACGAGGCTGGCCGAAAGGTTTAGTTGTTTTTTATTTGTTCCCTTCTCACAAGTGGCTTCATAAGATTAGTCGAGAGAAACCTAAACTGGAGGAGTTGCATAGGAAATTTGATATGATTATTGAAAACCCTCATAAGAGAGGTCAGAGAAAAAGACTGGTGAAGTGGAAGTAGATAGTCTTCTCTCTGTTCTCTAAATATTAAAAATCACGAAGCACTTGAACATCCTTTGACAGCCAACAACATCAAAGGTATAATGTTGGTGAGTATATATATGTATTACTTTCTGTTATCATTTGATGCTTTTTCTGCATATTAAGATTTACGGCCTAACCTTCATTTCTTGTCTATATAAAATTAAGTATAAACTAAATCATAAAACATTTACAGCCTTATTCTTGTGTATATAATTTCTGTTACGTGCCATATAATCTAAAATATGGAAGAAGAAAAAACTCACATCATATAAGATTTTAGAGACGAAAGGTTGAGCAAAATATATTCGTGTAGAATATATATAGGAAGGTAGTTATTTCATAGTTAGAAGAATAACATTTATTTTATTATTGATCGCAATATTATTTTGTGCATACTTATATGATTTCGATATGTGTCAAGGAGATCCAACTAAGTACTTGAAGATAATGTGTATGTCGGTGTAGTCTGTGTGAGTATTTCTTCTTAATTAGAGGCTTCTTTTGTTAGTTGTTACGAAGGCTTTTTTGCATACGTAAGACACATGCAGATATAAATTCCATTAAAAATGAAAAGAAATTAAGCTAATCAATTTTAACTCGTTAAAAAATATCGACCTAGTGCTGAAAACTTAGACTAATTTAAACAAGTCTCAAATTTAAACTATAGTGTTATTATATTGTTGTAATTTTATATAGATAAAAAGAAAAAATTGAACTCATTTTCTTATTTTATCGGACATGTTTGTTGCTGGAACCGATACATCATCAGCAGTTATTGATTGAGCCATTTCGGAAATGCTGAAAAACCCATGAGTAATAACCGAAGCTCAAGAAAGTTATTGAAGTTTTTGGTAGCAAAGGATACACCAACGAGACAGCTCTTGAAGAACTAAAATATCTGAAAGCAGTCATCAAAGAAACGCTGAGATTACACCCTCTCCTTTTCCTCTTCTTCCAGGAGAATTTATAGAAACTTGTGAGATCAAAGGGTACACAAACAAAATGATAGCGAATGCGTGGGCA